GCTATTGGTTGCGCAATCGGCGTTGCTAGAAGGCGGGCCAATCGGCAAGCAGCAGGGATGCCCCGCCCCTCCAGGTTGCTCTCTTAACCCCTGCGCTGCTTGAGGCCGAGCGAAGCAGAAAAAGGGACAGAGAAGAGTAGGAGTTGCTTGGAAAATATTATACTATAATATGCTATGCTATGCTATAATAACATATAGTATATTTTCCAAGCAACTCCTACTCTTATAATATATATTAGCATTGTATTGTATTGTATTGTATTATGGTATATTATATTTATTATGGTATATTTTTATATTTTCCTACTCCTATAATATATTATATAGTATAGTATGTATGGTATGGTATATATATTCTATTATAGTATATTATATTTTCCAGGTAACTCCTACTCTTATAATATATATTAATTATATAGTATAGTATATTTAGTATACTGTTGTTAATTGCGAAGTCGTGTCCGACCCATCGCGACACCATGGACAACGTTCCTCCAGGTCTTTCTGTCCTCTACCATCTTCTGGAGTCCATTTAAGTTCACACCTACTGCTTCAGTGACTCCATCCAGCCATCTCATTCTCTGTCGTCCTCTTCTTCTATTGCCCTCAATCTTTCATTTAGTATACTATAGTATGGTATATATATTCTATTATAGTATATTATAATATTTTCCAAGTAACACCTACTACTATAATATATATATTAATTATATATTTTAGTATATTATAGCATGGTATATATATATATAATTATAGTATATTATATTTTGCAGGTAACTCCTACTCCTATATTAATTATATATTATAGTATAGTATAGTACATTATAATATTTTCCAAGTAACTCCTACTCCTATAATATAAAATATTAATTATATATTATAGTATATTTAGTATGGTATGGTATATATATTCTATTATAGTATATTATATTTTCCAAGCAACTCCTACTCCTATTATATTAACTTCAGGCTGGTGTTTTCAGCTTCGTGCTTTGAGGAGCAATGTGTGGTCTTAGCTGTTTCTTCCTTTTAACTGCCAGTGGGGGTATGAACTGATTGGGTGGGAGCTTGGCTGTGTTCTGATTGGGTGGAGGTGTGTTCTGATGGTTAGGGGCTGGCTGTGCTCTGATTGGCTGGGGGTTGTTGGCTGTTGCTGTGCTGATTGGCTGGGGGAGTGTTCTGTTTGGTTGTGCTCAGGTTAGTCTGAGTTGCAGGGGGGTTTAAGATTTTGGGCTGCCTTGCTATTTTTTGGCTTCGCGTTCGTGGTCGTGCCTCATCTTCATGGAGGGTGTCAGTTTGCTTCATGTATGGATTGGAGGGGTTTAAAGTGGCTAATGATGCAGCTGTGGTCTGCCTTCTGGTTTGTGGTTGTGCCTCATCATCGGTGTGGCTTTGGGTTTGCTTTTTTCGTGGATGTGTGGTGGTGACATCCTGTGTGGTTTTTGTGAGTATGGGTCTGGTATCATTTTTTGTGTTAGGGAGTCGTTTGTCAATAAGGGCGGGTTAATGTCCACACAGCATGAACAAGCGAGATGATACCTCCCACCTACCAGCCATTTGGAAACCCGCCATTATTATTAATCAGAGCACAGCCAAGCCCCTAACCAATCAGAACACACCTCCACCCAATCAGAACACAGCCAAGCTCCCACCCAATCAGTTCATACCCCCACTGGCAGTTAAAAGGAAGAAACAGCTAAGACCACACATTGCTCCTCGAAGCATGAAGCTGAAAACACCAGCCTGAAGATGACGAATGGGACTTCGTCGAAACGTCGCCAAGACACTTCCAATTTTTCGCGGGAGAAAACCCGAACAACCAAAGACCTACATATAACTCCCCGCGAAAACCTCAGAAAACATATATATATATATATATAATTAGAGTATATTATAATATTTTCCAAGTAATTCCTCCTATAATATATATTATATGTAGTACAGTATAGTATATTTTCCAAGTAAATCCTATTCCTATAATATATAATATTAATTATATATTATACTATATTATACTACACTATATTACATTACATTATATTATATTATAGCAGTGATGGTGAACCTTTTAGAGACCGCATGCCCAAACTGCAACCCAAAACCCACTTATGCATCGTTGAGTGCCGGGTGGGTGTGGCCCATTGGGTGGGCATGGCCAATTGGGTGGGCGTGGCTGCGGTGGTCACGGCAGACTGGGTGGGACTAAAAAGTTCAATCAATCAATTCCAACTTTGCGAGATCTTTTTTTTTCCCCACAAGAAGTTGAAATTGACTGATTGAACCTTTTTTTTTGTACACAGTGGCGGAGGCCTAAAGCGAAAAGGTTTTATAAAACCCAGCTGACGGCCTAGGACTGGGGCGACGGCGCGTGCGCCCACAGAGAGGGCTCCGAGTGCCGCCTCTGGCACCCGTGTCATAGGTTCGCCACCACTGTATTATAGTAAGGTATGGTATATCTATATTGTAGTATATTATAATATTTTCCAAGTAACTCCTACTCCTATAATCTATATTAATTATATATCATATATCATATCATATGTAGATTACCTCATTACATTATATCATATTTATTGTATTTATTTATTATATTATGCAGGTCATCCTTGACTTACGGTCCCTTGAGTGACCGCTCAGACTTAACACCGGCACTCAAAAAAAAAGGTCCGACGATCTCACAAGGGTTGGCCAGAGAAGTGTTAAAATGGGGGCAAAAGTCTCTGAAGGAAGGTCTCAACCAATTGCGGTCGTATAAAATAAAATAAAATAAAAAATAAATACAATTAAAATAATGTTAAATAAAATAAAAAATGTAGTATAGTACTGTATAGTATGTATCGTGTCGTATTTTATTTTATACTATCGTATCGTACCGTGTTAGTATAATATAATATAGGTAGTCCTGTAAAAAAAAAACCAATAAAATAGTAAAAGACAAATGAAATACAAACCAGTAAAATAAAACAAATAAAACCATAAAATTAATAAAATAAAGATCAAGTAATAAAATGAAATAAAAATAAAATCGAAAATAGAATACAAATAAAAAATAAAAAATAAATAAAATAAATAAAAATAAAATCAAAAATAGAATTAAATTAAAATGAAATCAAAAATAAATAAAATAAAACTGAAATTAAAAAAATAAATAAAAAATAAAATAAAAATTAAAAATAAATACAATTAAAATAATGTTAAATAAAATAAAAAATATTGTATAGTATCGTATAGTATGTATCGTGTTGTATTTTATTTTATAGTATCGTATCGTATCATGTTAGTATAATATAGGTAGTCCTGTAAAAAAAGCAATAAAATAATAAAAGACCAATGAAATACAAACCAGTAAAATAAAATAAATAAAACCATAAAATTAATAAAATAAAGATCAAGTAATAAAATGAAACAAAAATAAAATTGAAAATAGAATACAAATAAAAATAAAATAAAATAATAAAAATAAAATCGAAAATAGAATTAAAATGAAATGAAATAAAAAATAAAATAAAACTGAAATGACATAAAACACAAATAAAATAAATAAAATAAAAATTAAATTAAATTAAAAATAAATCAAATTAAAATGTTAAATAAAATAAAAAATATAGTGTAGTATCGTATAGTACGCATCGTATCGTATTTTATTTTATAGTATCGTATAGTATTGTATCGTATCGTGTTAGTATAATATAGGTAGTCCTGTAAAAAAAATGAATAAAATAATAAAAGACAGTAAAATAAAATAAATAAAACCATAAAATTAATAAAATAAAAATAAAGTAATAAAATAAAATCAAAATAAAATCAAAAATAGAATAAAATAAAATAGAATACAAATACAAATAAAATAAAAATAAATAATAAATCAAAATAAAATCGAAAATAGAATTAAAATAAAATAAAAAATAAAAAAGATAAATAAAACTGAAGTGAAATCAAGTACAAATGAAATAAAAAATTAAAATGTTAAAATAATAAAAAATAAATAGTATAGTATAGTAATCATATTTTTATAATAATATATAAAATGAATAAAACAATAAAATACAAATAAATAACGTAACATAAAATTATTAAAATAAAAATAAAATAAAATATAGAAAATAAAAATAAAATAAAAAAATAAAATTGAAATGAAATAAAATAAAAATAAAATAAATAAAATAAAATAAAAACAATGTTAAATAAAATAAAATTAAAAATATAGTATAGTATCGTATAGTATCGTATCGTATTTTATTTTATAGTATCGTACCGTATAATAGAGTATCGTATCACGTTAGTATAATATAGGTAGTCCTGTAAAAAAATGAATAAAATAATAAAAGACAAGTCAAATACAAACAAGTAAAATAAAAGAAACAAAACAAAATAAAATAAAAAAATAAAGCAATAATAAATAAAATCGAAAACAGAATAAAAAATAGAAAATAAAATAAAAAAGAAAGTAAAAATAAATCAAACAAAACAACATAAATAAAAGTAAAATCGAAAATAGAATTAAATTAAAATAAAATAAGATAAAATAAAACTGAAATGAAATAAAATACAAATAAAACAACAAAATAAAATTAAAATTAAAATAATGTTAAATAAAATAATAAAATGATAAATAATAAACAGTATAGTATTGTATAGTATAGTAATCGTATTTGTATAATAATATAGGTAATGAATAAAATAATAAAATACAAATAAGTAAAATAAAATAAATAAATTAAAATAAAAAATAAAATATACAATAAAATAAAATACACAATAAAATAAAACTAAAATAAAATAATTAAAATAAAATAAAATTGAAATTGAAATAAAAATAAAAAATAAATATTAAAATAAAGTTAAACAAAATAAAAAATATACCATACCATACCATACTATACTATATTATACTATTACTATACTATAGTAAATTAAGTTAAATTAAATTAAATTAAATTGAAACTAACTAAACTAAAGTAAACTAAACTAAACTAAACATAAGTAAGCTCAGCCTGGCCTTTCAAAAGTAACATCTACCGCTTTATTGTCATTCTTTAAAGAATATACAGTAGGAACTCGGTGGAAAACGCGAACAGGTCAGTTTCCGGAGCAGAGCTACTACGCCTACCGCTGCCGACCAACGTCGGGAATTGGAACCGGACACCCCCAGCCTCTGCTCCCAAATTCTACGCTTACTATAAATAACAAAATAGCTTTGCCTACGTGAAGTTCAGGCTGGTACAATGGACCAAGGAGGGGCTAGGACACAGCCCCCCCTGAGAGATCCAGAAGATTCCGGGGGGGGGGTCGTATCTTCTGATTCTCGGAGATGGACCAGGAGATGGACGAACTCCTGCTCTCTGTTTTTTAAGTCGTACGTTTGGCGGTGTCGCGCAGTGAAACCGGGGGGGCCCGTACCGATCACACCGCGGCGGGAGGCACCATTCGCGGAACCTGCCCTCCTCCTTCATTTACAGGCTCCTTCTCCCCGGTGGGACGGCCCTTGGAGACTGGCCAAGGGTTAACACCGAGAGGCAGGGGGATACGCCAAATCTTTGCCCCTTGTATGTAACCTCTCTAAACTGGCACTCTGGGCAACCAGTCCGCCTACGGGCGCTCATCCCGATTTTCCACCATCTCCAGAGCTTCTCCTGCGGAATACTCACTCGCCCCCCCTCCCATTTTGCTCCATCTCGGGAACTTTTCCAGAGCTTGAGGACAGCCATTTGTCTGGCATTCAGCTTGAGCAAGGGGACTGGACTAGAAGACCTCCCGAGGTCCCTTCCAACTCTTGTCAGGTCTGCGTTCCGAGTATTCCCGCCACTCCGCAACAGAGCTCCGAGCTCCCGAGTCTCTCCGAATACCGGCTCAATCCTACACAGCTACAGTGTCTCCTCCCCAGCTCTCCGGGACCCTAGGCCAAGGTGCCAAGGGCTGGGGTCCCTCTCGCCCACCCCCAGAGAGGCATCTTCTACCCAACATCCAGGGGGGCTCAGGGACACACCTCGGCGCGGCTTGAGACGCCTATGCGCAAAGGTCGAGGGTGGGAGGGAGAGAGACGCACAGACGCGGCGCACCAGCAGCAGAGAGATCCCCCCCCTCCTCTAATTTGGCTGCTGGATCTGTTGGGCTGGGTATCCCGGGCGGAGAACCGCTTCCATCTCGGCCCCGGTTATGTTTCTGTGGCTGCGTTGATGCGCCCGCATGTTGGAGCCTTGGCTGAAGACGCGCGGGCAGAGCGGACAGGCGTAGGGCTTCTCGCCCGTGTGGAGGCGCTCGTGCGAGACCAGGTTCGACTTCTGGGAGAAGCGCTTCGGGCAGCGGCTGCAGGCGTACGGCTTCTCCCCGGTGTGGATCCGGATGTGGGCCACCAGGTAGGGCTTGCATCGGAACTGCTTGCCGCACACTGGGCAAACGAAGGGGCGGTCCACCGCCGGCTGGGGCGAGGGCGGAGGAAGGACGCCGGCCAGCTGGGGCAACGGCGTGGCGCCCCGGACGCAGGGCAGGAAGGCCTCTGCCGCCGGGCGTGCGTGCTGGAAGGGGTCCAGGCCCAGAGATTCGGGGGACGGGCGTTGCTGGCTGGGGAACGGCTCCCCGTTGAAGGCCTCGAGGGGGTGCGGGCTACCGTGGGCCAGGGGCTCCCGCGAGTGGATTTTCTGGTGGGAGATGAGGTTGGGCTTGTGACGGAAGCTCTTCCCGCACTGGACGCAGACATACGGCTTTTCGCCGGTGTGGATGTGCTGGTGGGAGGCCAGGTAGGCCTTGCTCCCGAAGGACTTGCCACACTCCTGACACTGGTAGCGCCGCTCGCCAGTATGCACTTGCCGGTGGGCCAGCAGGTTGGGCTTGTGCCGGAAGCTCTTGCCGCACTGCGCGCAGGCGTACGGCCGGTCGGTGGCCAGGTGGGCCAACGCCTCCGCCTTGGGCACCGAGCCGGCAATCCCCTCGGCGGCCATGTGGGCCATCTGGTGGGTGACCAGCTCCTCCCAGCCGTGGAAGCTCCAGCCGCATTGGTCACAGATAAACTCCCCGTTGCTCAGAAGGCCGGGCGCCTGGTGGCCGGGCAGCGGCTGGGGCCCGTAGCCGAGGGCCCAAGGGTTGAAGCTGGCCGCCGGCGGGCCCTGCTGGTGCAAGGCCATCTCTGGCCAGAAGGGCAGCGTGCCCTCGCCCTGGCTGCCGGGGAAGGGGCTGGCCCCGGTGCCCGTCTCACCCTCCTGGGGCCCAGCCAGATCTGTGGCGTGTGGTGAGCGTCCGGCTGCCGGGGGGACGGTCCGGGACCACTTGCGGACGTGGAGACGACGGTGGGCAGCCAAGGCGATGCGTCCCAGGAAGCTTCTTCGGCACTTGGGGCACTTGTAGGGCTTCTCCCGCTTCCGAGGGCCGGCCTTCTGCTCCGAGGTGGCCTCCCCTTCCCCTGCAGGGGGCGCCCTTCCTCTGGACTTTGAAACCGGCCTCTTGGGCTTCGTAACTGCTGTCGAGGAAGGGGGGACGGCGCGGGTCTTCTTCGTCTCCTCGGAAACCCCGGGAAGATCCTCGGTGGTCTGCTCCTTCTGCTCCGCTCTCACAGCTGCAAGGAGACACATCACCCAGAGGGGGGGTTATTGAACCCAGCACATCTGGGGAAGCTCTGACATAGGAAACCTCCCCCACCTCCCTGACTGGAGATTTCTCCCCCCCCCCTTCCTCCCTCTGGAGCTGCTTCCCGGGTGGGTTTGCACCACAAAAAGAGAGATTCCATCCCCTCCGGACTTTGGGGACCCCCTTGCCCACAAAGTCCGGATGGGATATTTCTCCTCTTTCTTTCTTTCTTTCTTTCTTTCTTTCTTTCTTTCTTTCTTTCTTTCTTTCTTTCTTTCTTTCTTTCTTTTTCTTTCCTTCCTTCCTTCCTTTCCTTCCTCTTTCTCTTTCTTTTCTTTCATTCCTTCCTTCCTTTTTCCTTCCTTCCTTCCTTCCTTTCTTTCCTTTGTTTTTTTCCTTTCTTTCCTTCCTTCTTTTCTTTCTTTCCTTCCTTTTTCTTTCTTTCTTTCTTTCCTTCCTTCCTCCTTCCTTCCTCTTTCTTTTCTTTCTTTCCTTCCTTCTTTGCTTTTTCTTTCTTTTCTTTCCTTTCTTTCTTTCCTTCCTTCCTTTTTTTCTCTTTTTCTTTCTTTCTCCTTTCATCTTTTCTATCTTTCCTTCCTTCCTTCCTTCCCTTTCTGTTTTCCTTTGTCTTTTCTTTTTCTCTTGATTTTCTTTCTCCTTCCATCCTTTTTTCTTCCTATTTTCTTTTTCTCTCGATTCTCTGTGTCTTCTTTGTCTTTTCTTTTTCCTTTCTTTCTTTTTTCCTTCCTTTTTTCTCTTTGCCTTTTCTTTTTCTCTTTTTCCTCCCTTTGTCTATTTTCTATTCTTTCTTCTCTTCCTTTCTTCTTTCTTTTCTTCTCTATTCTTTCTCTTTCTTTAATTCCTTCCATCCTTCTTTTGCCTTTCCTTCTCCTTCCTTCCTTCCTTCCTTCCTTCCCTCCCTCCTTCCCTCCCTCCCTATTTATATTTCATATTTCTAAACTCCGCATCTCCACAAACCCCTAGCAAACCCCATCTTTGCCTTTTGGCGTCCCGGGAAGAAATGACTCCATCCAGGTAGAATCATCCTCCCAACGCCCTGAGCCCGTGCAGAAACACAGAGACCCAGTGGTAGGATTCAGCTGGTTTGCACCGCTTGGGCAGAACCGGAAGCTAAAATTTGCTGACTTCAGAGAACCGGCTGAATGCACACTGCTTCTGGAAGTCCGTTATAGGCCTCGGAGGCCTCCCAGGCCTAGAACGGCCCATCAGGTGCGTGGATGCCAATTCTGGAAGTCCGTTCTAGGCCTCGGAGGCCTGGAGGAGGCCTCCCAGGCCTATAACGGCGCATCAGAAGTGGATGGATGCCACTTTCAGAAGTCCGTTCTAGGCCTCGCAGGCCTGGAGGAGGCCTCCCCAGCCTAGAACGGCCCGCCGGAAGTGCGTGGATGCCACTTCCAGAAGTCCGTTCTAGGCCTCGCAGGCCTGGAGGAGGCCTCCCCAGCCTAGAACGGCCCGCCAGAAGTGCGTGGATGCCACTTCTGGAAGTCCATTCTAGGCCTCCCAGGCCTGAAGGAGGCCTCCCCAGCCTAGAACGGCCCACTGGAAGTGCATGGATGCCACTTCTGGAAGTCCGTTCTAGGCCTCAGAGGCCTGAAGGAGGCCTGCCCAGCCTAGAACGGCCCGCCGGAAGTGCGTGGATGCCACTTCCAGAAGTCCGTTCTAGGCCTCAGAAGCCTGAAGGAGGCCTCCCCAGCCTAGAACGGCCCGCCAGAAGTGCGTGGATGCCCTTCCGGAAGTCCATTCGAGGCCTCGGAGGCCTGGAGGAGGCCTCCCAGGCCTTGAACGGCCCACCAGAAGTGTGTGGATGCCACTTCCGGAAGTCCATTCTAGGCGTCGGAGGCCTGGAGGACGCCTCCCCAGCCTAGAACGGCCCGACGGAAGTGCGTGGATGCCACTTCCGGAAGTCTGTTCTAGCCCTCGGAGGCCTGGAGGAGGCCTCCCAGGCCTCGAACGGCCCGCCGGAAGTGCGTGGATGCCACTTCCGGAAGTCCGTTCTAGGCCTCGGAGGCCCAGGCTTGCATCCAATAAGAGAACCGGTTGCTCAGGTATTTGAAATCCCATCACTGCAGAGACAACCCCCCCCACCACCAATGCCCTGCCCGGAACCTCCCCCCCCCGTTTACCTGGGCTGTCCCCGTCCTGCTCCGGGGGTGCCACGGTCCCGATCCGGGGCACTTCACCTTGTGCCAGCTGGGACAGCAATTCTGGGATGGCCAGCAGGCATTCTGCAGAGGGACAAAAGCAGAGACAGGTGTTGGGGGGGAGCAAGCAACAGCCCAAAAGACCCCCCTTTTTTCGAAATACCCCCCCTCGTTGCCTTTGGGGCTGCCTCCACAAAGTCCATTGGCAAAATCTTCCAGAAGCATGATAATAATAATAATAATAATAACAACAACAACAACAACAACAACAACAACAATGATAAAGTTGGAAGGGACCTTGGAGGTCATCTAGTCCAACCCGCTGCTCAGACAGGAAACCCCAGACCATTTCAGACAAATGGCTGTCCCATCTCTTCTTCATCATCATCAAGTTAGAAGGGACCTTGGAGGTCATGTAGTCCAACCCCCTGCTCAGGCAGGAAACTCTACACCATTTCGGACAAATAGCTGTCCAGTCTCTTCATAATAATAATAATAAAGTGAGAAGGGACCTTGGAGGTCATGTAGTCCAACCCCCTGCTCAGGTAGGAAACCCCAGACCATTTCAGATAAATGGCTGTCCAGTCTCTTCATGTTGATGATAGTAATAATAATAATAATAATAATAATAATAATAATAATAAAGTTAGAAGGGACCTTGGAGGTCATGTAGTCCAGCCCCCTGCTCAGGCAGGAAACCCCAGACCATTTCAGATAAATGGCTGTCCAGTCTCTTCATGATGATGATGATGATGATGATAATAATAATAATAAAGTGGGAAAGGACCTTGGAGGTCATCTAGTCCAACCCCCTGCTCAGGCAGGAAACCCCAGACCATTTCAGACAAATGGCTGTCCAGTCTCTTCATGATGATGATGATGATAATAATAATAATAATAATAATAATAATAATAATAATAATAAGAGATAGCAGAATAGAAGAGAAAGAACTGGAGAAGATAACAAAATACAAAGACCTACAAATAGAAATAGAAAGACTGTGGCAAAAGCAAGCAAGGGTAGTACCAATAGTCATAGGCGCCTTGGGTGCAATCCCAAAACAACTGGAGCACCACTTGAACACCATTGGCATTGACAAATTCGCTATTAGTCAATTGCAAAGGCGGCCTTACTAGGAACTGCTTCCATCCTGCGACGATACCTGTAATACCATCAAACATCCACATCTGCCTATCCCAGGTCCTGGGTAAGGACTCGATAGGTAGACAAAATGCCAAATCCAGTCTGAACATCTGGCTGACTGTGCGAGGAATGATAATAATAATAATAATAATAATAATAATAATAATAATAATAATAATAATAATAAAGTTGGAAGGGACCTTGGAGGTCATCTAGTCCAACCCCCTGCTCAGCCAGGAAACCCTACACCATTTCAGACAAATGGCTGTCCAGTCTCTTCTTCAAAACCTCCAGGGTTGGAGCATTCAGAGCTTCTGGAGGCAGGTGGTTCCACGGGTTAATTGTTCTCACTGTCAGGAAGTTTCTCCTTAGTTCTAGGTTGCTTCTCTCCTTGGCTAGTTTCCATCCGTTGTTTCTTGTCCTGCCTTGACGTCCTTGTCTCCACTTATTCACAATTGTTTCTTAAACAGTGATAAGCTTCTCGGACAAACGCCGAGATTGTAAAGGAGGGGGGAAAAAAATAACTAGTATCTTGCAGGAAGGAAAGAAAGAAAAAAAATCTTTCAAATGACTTTAACCTCCTAAGCGTGCTTCACGCATTCCTGACTTCCCCCCCACCCTCCATATATGTATTCAAATCAACGCGACAGAATGTGTTTTGTATACACCTTTATCGATAAAGCTAACAACGATCCTAGGGTTACGTCAACGGAGGTGCAGAATCAACGTCGCGTGAAGTCTTCGCGTTGCTTTCCAGTCTCTTCTTAAAAAGTGATGGAGCGCCCACGCTTTCTGGTGGCAGGCTGTTCCACCGGTGAATTGTCCTCCCTGTTGGGAACTTTCTCCTGAATTCCAGCTTGCTTCTCCCTGTGGTCAGTTTCCAACCATGGTTTCTCGTCCTGCCCTCTGGTGCACTGGTGAACAACCCTCTCTTTGGGACAGCCCCCCCCCCCAATACTGGAACGCTGCTGTCATGTCTCCCCTGCTTCTTCTTTCCTTTAGACTAGCCCAGTGGTTCTCCACCTGTGGGTCGGGACCCCATTTGGGGTCAAACAACCATTTCACGGGGGTCGCCAAACAACGCAGTCCGCCATTTCCCCCCCCCCCTTTTTCTTAGCTATGCTACTCCCTTTTATTCTATTGGCTTTGGAAAGCCAATAGTAGAGACTCTCTTGAATAGAGTCTCATTCTATGGGCTTTCCAAAGCCAATAGGAATTGTCCAGGCTGTCTCTGCCCTGCTGAGCCCGCCCAAAGTCCCATTCTGCAAATGGTGCTGCACCAGTTGAGTAGTCCTCGACTTACGACCAGTTGAGTAGTCCTCGAATTACGACCGGTGGGGGCTCGCGGCATTAAAAAGGTTGAGAACCACTGGACTAGCCAAATCCAAGTCCCGTAGCCGTTCTTCGTAGGTTTGAGTCTCCGGGCCTCGGATCCTCTTAGTAACTGAGAGATGGACCTCGGAGTCCTAGTGGGCGATCCCTGGGCCCGGAGCCAGCCGTGTGCAGCAGCAGCCAAAAAAAAAAAGCTCACACAATCCTAGGTTGTGTAAACAGAGGCCCAGAATCAAGATCAGTCCCGCTTTATTAAAACCCTAGCGGGGCTACACCTGGAATACGGCAGCTAATTTTGGTCCCCATATCCCAAAAAAGAGGTAGAGAGTTTGGAAGAAAAAAATTCAGAGAAGATCAACTGACAGTGGTTCTCAACCTTTTTAATGCCGCGACCCCCAACCGGTCGTAAGTCGAGGACTACTCAACCGGTCGTAAGTCGAGGACTACTCAACTGGTGCAGCACCGTTTGCAGAATGGGACTTTTGGCGGGCTCAGCAGGGCAGAGACAGCCTGGACCATTCCTATTGGCTTTGGAAAGCCAATAGAGTTAGACTCTATTCAAGAGAGCCTATTCTATTGGCTTTCCAAAGCCAATAGAATAAAAGGGAGGAGCACAGCTAAGGAAAAGGGGGAAAAAATGGCGGATTGCGTTGTTTGGCGACCCCCGTGAAATGGTCATTCGACCCCAAATGGGGTCCCGACCCACAGGTGGAGAACCACTTAACTAAGTGGATCCAAGACCTGGAGGCTAAAACACAGGAAGAACGGCTGCGGGATTTGGGGTCTGGCTGGTCTAAAGAAAAGAAGAAATAGGGGAGACAGGATAGCAGTTCTTCCAGTATTTGGGGGGGGGCTGCCACGAAGAAAAGGGGGTCAACTTATTCTCCCAAGCCCCAGAGGGCAGGGCGAGAAACCAGGGTTGGAAACTGATCAGAGAGAGGAGCAACCTGTAATTAAGGAGGAACTTCCTGACAGGGAGGACAATGAACCGGTGGAACAGCTTGCCACCAGAAATCGTGGGCGCTCCATCCCTGCAGGTTTTTAAGAAGAGGCTAGCCAGTCCCTTGTCTGAGACGGTATGGGTTCTCCTGCTCGAGCAGGGGGTTGGACTAGAAGACCTCTGAGATCCCTTCCAACTGTCTGCCTGTCTATGATTCTGTAAGGAGCCGGGGGGGGGGAGGTCAGACTAGAGGACCTGCAGGGTCCCTTCCAGCTCCGTGATTCTGTAAGGGTCTCCTGCTTCGGGCAGGGGGTTGGACTAGATGACCTCTGAGGTCCCTTCCAACTCTGTCCATCTGTGATTCTGTAAGGGTCTCCTGCTGGAGCCGGGGGTTGGACTAGATGACCTTCGAGGTCCCTTCCAACTCTACCATTCTGTGATAATGGAAGGGTCTCCTTCTTGAGCAGGGGGGTCAGACTAGATGACCTCCACGGTCCCTTTCGGCTCTGTGATTCTGTAAAGGGTCTCCTGCTCGGGCAGGGGGTCGGACTAGATGACCTCCGAGGTCCTTTCTGGCTCTGTGATTCTGTAAAGGGTCTCCTGCTTGGGCAGGGGGTCGGACTAGATGACCTCCGAGGTCCCTTCCAATTCTGTCCATCTGTGATTCTGTAAGGGCTCCTGCTGGAGCCAGGGGCTGGACTAGATGACCTCCGAGGTCCCTTCGAACTCTACCATTCTATGATAATGGAAGGGTCTCCTTCTTGAGCAGGGGGGGGGGGTCAGACTAGATGACCTCCAGGGTCCCTTCCGGCTCTGTGATTCTTTAAGAGCCTCCTGCTCGGGCAGGGGGTCAGACTAGATGACCTCCGAGGTCCCTTCCAACTCTACCATTCTACGATGCTGGAAGAGTCTCCTGCTCGAGCCGGGGGGGTTGGACTAGATGACCTCCGAGGTCCCTTCCAACTCTTGATATTCGATGATTCTCTGCCCCGGTTGGTGCACTTGGGCCGCCCCAGACGTCCCCCTCCGCCCCACCCCGAAGCCAAGGGGCAACCAGGCAGGGCTTTACCCAGCGAGGAGATCAGCTGGTAGTTCTCCACCATGACGTCGCGGTAGAGATCCTTCTGCCATCCGGCCAGCTCTGCCCACTCCTCGGCCGAAAAGCAGACAGCCACGTCGGCGAAGGTCGCTGGCACCTGTCAGAAGGACAGCCAGGTGAGGGGGTGCCTTAGGGAGAAGGGGCTGGGCGGGGGTGGGGGTCCCGCCCTGGTTCCATCACAGCCAGGCAGGGAGACAGAGAGAGAGAGAGAAAAAGAATAGAATAGAATAGAATAGAATAGAATAGAGTAGAGTAGAGTAGAGTAGAGTAGAGTAGAGTAGAGTAGAGTAGAGTAGAGTGGAGTAGAGTAGAGTGGAGTGGAGTAGAGTAGAGTAGAGTAGACTAGACTAGACTAGACTAGACTAGACTAGAATAGAATAGAATAGAATAGAATAGAATTACCTAGAATAGAACAGAACAGAACAGAACAGAATAGAATATAGAGAACAAATAGAATAGAACAGAATAGAATAGAATAGAATTTTGGAATGAAGAATAGAATAGAATAATAAGAACAGAATAGAAAATAGAATACAATAGAGTAGCATAGAATATAGAATAGAACAGAATATAGAACAGAATAGAATATAAAATAGTAGAATAGAATAGATTATAGAACAGAATAGAAAATGGAACAGAATAGAATAGAATACAGCTGGAAGGGACCTTGGAGGTCTTCTAGTCCAGCCCTGTGCCACAGCCACGCAGAAAGAGAGAGAGCGAGAGATAGAGAGAGAGAGAGAGGGAGAGAGAGAGAGAAATAGAATAGAATAAAATAGAATACAATAAGAATAGAATAGAAAATAGAAGAATAGAACAGAATATAGAATAGAATAGAACAGAATATAGAATAGAATATAGAATAGAATAGAATAGAATAGAATAGAATAGAATAGAATAGAATAGAATAGAATAGAATAGAATAGAATAGGGACCTTGGAGGTCTTCTAGTCCAGCCCTGTGCCACAGCCAGGCAGAGAGAGAGAGAGAGAGAAGAGAAGAGAAGAGAATAAAATAGAATGCAATTGAACAGAACAGAACAGAATATAGAATGGAATGGAATGGAATAGAATAGAATAGAATAGAATAGAACAGAATAGAATTAAGAATAGATTAGAATAGAATTAGCAAGAATAGAATAGAATAAATAGTAAGAACAGAATAGAAAATACAATAGAAAATAGAATAGAATAGAGTAGAATAGAATATAGAATAGAACAGAATATAGAACAGAATAGAATACAAGATAGAAGAATAGAATAGAATATAGAACAGAATAGAAAATAGAACAGAACAGAATACAGCTGGAAGGGACCTTGGAGGTCTTCTAGTCCAGCCCTTTGCCACAGCCAGGCAGAAAGAGCGAGAGAGTGAGAGAGCAAGAGAGAGAGAGAGAGGAGAAGAGAATAGAATAAAATAGAATACAATAAGAATAGAATAGAACAGAATATAGAATAGAATAGAATAGAATAGAATAGAATAGAATAGAATAGAATATAGAATAGAATAGAATAGAATAGAATAGAATAGAATAGAATAGAATAGAATAGAATAGAATAGGGACCTTGGAGGTCTTCTAGTCCAGCCCCGTGCCACAGTCAGGGAGAGGGAGAGAGATCCCCAAAAGGGCCACAGAGCTGCATCCTGGAGCCCCACAATCAGGGCCCTGGGGGAGGGAGGCCAAAGAGAGGAGGATCCCATGGGGGGGAGGGTCACTAGGAGCCCAAAGTCGGGAGGAAGCAGGCTGCCCCCGCCCTTTGGAAAGCCAAAACCTGAACCGGCTTCCGATGCACGGGTTCAAATAATTCTATTTTTCTATTCTATTCTATTCTATTCTATTCTATTCTATTCTATTCTATTCTATTCTATTCTATATTTTCGATTCTATTCTATTTTATTCTATATTTTCTATTCTATTCTATAATTTCTATTCTATTCTATTCTGTATTCTATTCTATTCTATATTTTCGATTCTATTCTATAATTTATATTCTATTCTATTCTAGTCTGTATTCTATTCTATTCTATATTCTATTCTCTATTTTATATTCTATTCTGTATTCTATTCTATTTTATTCTATATTTTCTATTCTATTCTATTCTGTTTTCTATTCTATTCTATTCTCTATTTTCTATTCTATTGTATATTTTCTATTCTACTCTGTATTCTGTTGTATATTCTATTCTTTTATATTCTATTCTATTCTATATTCTATTCTATTCTATATTCTATTTTCTATTCTATTCTATATTTTCTATTCTATTCCTTCTATTCTATTCTACATTTTCTATTCTACTCTGTATTCTGTTGTGTATTCTATTCTATTCTATTCTATTCTGTATTCTATTCTATTCTGTATTCTATACTGTTCTATATTCTATTCTATATTTTCTATTCTATTCTATATTCCATTCCATTCCATATATTCTATTCTATATTCTATTCTAATTCTCGGCCTCCGGCTCTAGTGGACGGAGAGGGGGGTCCGAAGCCCCCCGTTCACCACCGGCCAGCCCCCCGCCCCTCCTCCTCCCGCCTGCGCAGAAGAGCCGTGTCCCCCCTCCCCTTCCCCCGGGGAAGCAAAGGGGACGTTGTCTGTCGGTGTGTGTAGGGAGGGGGAAGGGTCTCCGGGGCTTCCCCCCCCCGGAAAGACGGCCGGAGAATAAGGGGAGGGGGCCGAGCAGACGAGCAGCAGCCCCCCCCAGCCCTCCGCCTCCCCTTTCCCACGACCTGGGGAGGGGGGGTCTTGGGGGTGGCCAGGGAGGGGAGGGGAGGGCAGGGTGGGATGGGGAGGGGAGACCCCGGCCCCTCTCGGCCTACCTGCCAGGGGCTCCCTCCGGCCATGGCTCTCTTCTGTCCTCCCCCACCCCTCCGGCCCCTCCCCTGGGGAGGGGGGGAACCCCAGACGCCCCTTCCCCGCCGGCCGGGGGGGAAGGGGGGGGACCCCGGCCGCTCCAGCTGCTGCGCTTCGCCGGCTGCTCTTTTGTTAGCCTCGCAAAGCTTTTTGCGCTCCGAGGAGGAGGAGAGAGGGAGGGAGGGAGGGGGGAGGAGGAGGAGGGGACCACAGCTGCATGCCGGGAAGTGTAGTCTTTCTCCCCCCCCCCAGCGGGAGGCCGCCGGGTCCCCCCCCCACCCCACCTTTCAAGGCAGACACAGCGCCCCCCCCCCTCCTCTCTCCTTTTTTTGGGAATATATTTTACTCCAGATCTCTCCATCCTCTTTTGGCCAAAGCAAAGCGCAGGGATCGGGCCCCCCTGCTCCCTGGGGGAGTGTCCCTGCGGGGTGGGGGGGAGGAGGAGGAGGAGGAAAGGAAACCCCCCCCGCTCGACCCCTTTCTCCGCTGCGCCCCCCCCCGCTCCCCAAAATCCAAAAGAAAGCGAACGAACCCAAACCAGGGCGCAGCGCCAGCCGGGCGCGCAATTGCGCCTCCGAGGTCCGGATTTGGTGAGGGGGGGGGGGAAAGGGAAGCGAGACCATCCCTCCCCCCCCCCCACAAGGGAGGGTGGGGGTCTTGAGGCTGATTATCCCCCCCCTCTCTCACACACACACACACACACAAACACACACGAACGTACTGGCTCCATCGATCTTGGGAAGGGCCTCCCCCCTCGCCCCCTCCCGGCGGATTCTGCAGGTCCAGCAACTTACTAAAATGTAATTAGAGTAGAGTAGAAGTTGGAAGGGACTCAGAGGTCATCTAGCCCAACCCCGTGGGTAAGCAGGGGACTCTGACAGACAAGCAGAGTGAATAGAATAGAATAGAATAGAATAGAATATATAATAGAATAAAGAATATAATATATTACAGAACAGAATAGAATAGAATTGAATAGGATTAAGAATAGAATAGAATAGAAAAGAATAGAAATAGAATAAAGAATATAAGAGAATACAGAATAGAATACAATAGAATGGAACAGAATATAGAATAGAGTAGAATAGAATTAAATAGAATAAGAATAGAACAGAATAGAATTAAAGAATAGAATAGAATAAGAAAGAATAGAATAGAATTAAATATAGAATAGAATAGAATATAGAAGAGAACAGAATATAGTTATATAGAATAATTAGAATAGAACAGAACAGAATTAGAATAGAGCAGAGTAGAATAATTACAATAGAATAATTAGAACAGAACAGAATAATTAGAATAGAATATAGAATAGAAAAAATATGGAATATAGAATAGAATATAGAACAGAATAGAAAATAGAATATAGAAGTATATAGAACAGAATTAGAACAGAAGAGAATAATTAGAATAGAATATAGAATAGAAAGATATAGAATATAGAATAGAAAGATATAGAATATAGAATAGAATATAGAACAGAATAGAATAGAAAATATAATAGAGTAGAATATAGAGGTATATAGAACAGAATAATTAGAATACACTAGAATAATTAGAATAGAACAGAACAGAGCTGGACCTTGGAGGTCTTCTAGTCGAGCCCCCCCCCCCCCGCTCAAGCAGGAGACACAGAATCAGACTAATTGCGATGGACGGGACCTCGGAGGTCATCTAGTCCAACCCCCTATTCAAGCAGGAGACCTTATTCAGAATAAGAGGATAATGGAGTCGGCAGGCACATCGGAGGTCTTCTGGTCGAACCCTCTGTTTAAGCAGGAGACCCTACCCCATTTCGGACAGGCGATGGAGCACCCACAACTTCCGGTGGCAAGCAGTTCCACCGGCTAACGGTCCTCCTGGTGAGAAAGTTATCCCCTTAATTCCAGGTTGCTTCTCTCCTCGGTTAGTTTCCATCCCACGTTTCTTGTCCTGCCTTCAAGGGCTTTGGAAAACAAGTGGACCCCCCCCCTCTTCTTTGGGGCAGCCCCCCTCCCCAAATACCGGAACACTGCGATCGTGTGCCTCTACCCCGCCCCCCGGTCCTCCTTTTCTGCAGACTGGCCAGGCCCAATTCCCGCGAAAGTCCTTCGTACGTTTTAGCCGCCGGGCCTTTAACCCTCTTCGTTGCTCTTCTCTGCACTTTTCCTCCCCCCCCCCAAAAAAAGTCTCCAGCATCGAGGACTCGGCTTCAACGCCTCCTCGCCAAGCTGCACACACACACCCCCTGCCCAGCCTCGCAAAAACGGGCACCCCCACAACTGTAAGAAAGCCTTTATTGCAAATAAACATAGCTCAGAAAATAAAGAGGCATAATTATCGTCGTTATTGTTGTTATAATTATAATAATACATCTGGGATTGGGTCCCACGGGCCCCGTCTGGTTGAATGGGGGTGAAGTGTCCGGCGAGGGGTCTTTTGGAAGCTGGGGATGCAAGCACGGGGAGGGGGAGGTGATGGGGGGGGAAAGCCTCCAAGGGTGGGGCGGGGTGGACAGCGGTCTCGTCTCGTGTCCACTTGACCATCTCTTTCCATCTGCAGCTCGCAGGGACCCCCCCGACCAAAAACACCCCCCCACAAAAGAAACTCATCTTCGAGCCGTGAACGGTCCCAGTGGGGGGGGGAAGAGGGTGGGGGGGTGGGTAAGGAGGGAAGACCCTCTCCACCTCCCCAATTCTTGAGCGGGATCCTGAACGCCGAGCCCAATCTCGATGCACCGAGAAGGTCCTGCGCGGACGAGCGAGGTCGATGCGACAACTGTTGTGCACTTCTCCAAAGGTGAAAGATGTCGCTGGTGGGAGGGGGGGGAAACCGCCATGCACAGGGGGGTCGACACCCCTAAATGCTGGAAGACGAGCGGGGTACAGACAACAAATGGCGACCGCAGCATGCTCGGAGCGCAAGCAATTGACCCGCTGCTCCGGAGGCCGGATCCAGCAGGAGAACGAAGATGTCCATTAGCCAACTGGTCGGATCCTGGCGGCGACGCAGGGAGACTTCTGCCTGCCCGCCCGGCTGACCTCTGACCCCCCCTCCCCTCCCCAACCCTGCCAGCCTCGTCTCGCCAAACGACCAAAGGGACCCGTCCTGCCGCTGGCACCCAGTGTGTGTGCCGCCTCTATAAACGGCAACCTTGCTCTTTCGGGATGGGAAAAGGCCTTGCCGCCTGCGTCTGGATGACCTCGCGGAGCCCCGTGCGGCTTTTGTTAAGCATCCTGCTTGAGCCACAAAGAAGACCCTCTGAACCCACGAGGATCCTTCGGGGAGGGGGCGCAGCCATGGTGGTTTTAGCTGGCCACGGTTAAGAGGGCTGGTGAAGCACCTCCGCGAAGGCGTCAATCCGTACCACAGGGAGGAAAAGGGCTGGGGGAGCCCAGGACCACCGCCCCCCTTTCACACATCTCTTCCATCACATCCACGCTCTCCTCCCACTGGGGGCGAAACAACCAAATTTCCAAGAGACCCCCGCCAGGATTGCGGGACCGTGCCACCGTTGTTTCCCGCAGCATCTTCACGGAGAGGCCGTATTTGATCGGAACAAAAATGCAGGCCCCCCCAGTAGCCAAAAATTAAGATTTTTTCTCTCTTTCTCTCTCGCTGCAACATTGTTTTGCCTTTTCAATCTGCCTCAGCATTCTGGAAGGAGGAACGTTATCTAGAAGGGTAAAAACCATGCTGGAATCACAGAACGTCGCACAATCCCGCCGCCGCTGCACGGACGCAACCACGCTCGGCCCCAGAGGTGGCCGAAACGACGATAAAGGGGGGGGTGTCTACAAAGCCGTTATCTCTCACGGCCAAAGCTGCCCTCCCGGCACCCCGAGGAATAAAAGGGGAGCAGGCAGCTGGGTCTCTCTAGCGTAGCGGGACTCCAACGTTTTGGGAAGCGCAGAGCCGTTCTGCGGAGAGCGGGTCTTCCGCAGGGTGGGTGTAGTTTTGCGTGCTGCCCGCATCCCACGCGTGCGCGTGCGGACGGGGCTCCGCTCGCTTGCACGGACCGCTTTCTGCCAGGCTACTGGTCCAGAAGATTGCAGGTCGGGGACCTCTCCTCTAGCGGGAACCTCTAGCCTGGTCGCAGAGCTCAACCGTTCCCCAACTCTGTCGCTCGCTCCCTTTTGCCGTCGACACTGAGGGAGGGAAAACCGAGGTCAGAATTCAAGGACCACCCAACAATTGGCAGGGAAGGTGGGGGGGCAATGCTTGTATCCTGCCCTAGCCAGAGTCGGGCCGACGGGCCAACTCAACCCTATCTGACAGCCGTTTTCCGAGCACGGCAACTCAACAAATAGAAGTCGCAACTTTTTCCAAAAACGGGGACCCCCTTTGGGCCCCGAGACCCAGATGGAGGTGGTGCTGGGCCTCTCAGCTCCTGACTCACAGCCCTGGTTTTTTTTTTTTTAAAAAAAGGATTTTCTAACTTCCGGAGGGCTGTGCAACGCCGGGCAAGGCCCTACTTAGACAAATACACACACACACATACACACCATACACACACATACAGGGAAAGAGTCCCCAGGCAAAGGAAGCAAACGGCTGGAGGGCTAGCAAAGCTGCCGGCGGGAGGGAGGGCACCCCCCTCCCCGCCCGCCCAGCAGCGTACGAACAGCTGCCGTGTGCCAATCAAATGTCCGGGGCCCCCCACCCCATCTGCACAAAACTAAGAAACGGGTCCTCCCTTCTCGCGTCGTTTACGCGCTCAGCCGCACCCTTCGTCGTAAGACCCCGGATAGAATCCGTGCCACGTCTGCCCGACATCAGCCTAGCTCAACGGGCGTCAGATATGCCAGAGACGCTGGGCCAGGGGAAGGGGGAAGCTCTCACCGCCGCCCCCCCATCAACCTCGGCGGCTTCGCCCTTCGAAGACCAGAGTTTTTTTATTTTTTCTCCCCATTTCTCTGCTTCCTTCCTCTCCATCCTAAGCCACGACCCGCAGCCCTTGTGTGGTGGACCATCTTAGCATCCACCTTCCCTCCCTCCCCTTTCCTTCCAGGAAGGCCCCCCCCCAGCTTAAGGCACAGATCCCCTCTCTCTCACACACACACACACACACGTTCTTCCGGCAGAGTAAGACGGGCGGTCCCGTGCCAGGGCAGAGACCCGGCCTCGTGGGTGCCCCGTGGTTGGGGAGTCCAGGCGCCAACGGGTCATTCTAAAGTGCTTCTGCTTCGTTCTGCCCACCCCCTTTTGTGCGAGGACCCCCACACACACACACCTCTGTCTTCCAGCCCCAGCACAATCCAACCTCTTTGGTGTCGGGCCCTCTGCGAGCGTCAGACCTTGCTAATCCAGTGGCTGGAGGAGAGTAGTGGTTCCTTCTGCCTTTGAACACACACACACACACACCCCGAAGGCAGCCCCACATTGTACCCCCCCCTGCAGGGCTAAGCTGGAGGGAGAACGTGGCTTTGCTTGGGATTCAAAAACTCTCGGAGTTGAGTGCCAGGCAGGACAGGGGATCCAGCTGTCTCCCTTCCCAAAGTCTTTTTCCCCAAATCCCTCCCTCCCCAGAAAAGTCCAAAAGTCCTGTCAATCACCCCCGATGGATTTACAGGGAGCCCGACAGCAGGCCTGTTCCCCTTGGCACGAAGCCGGCACTCGCTTGCTGGCAAGAGTTCAACCATCCGGTTTGCGTAACGGCGATGCCGATGGTCCCATTTCTCGAACGAGTTGTTTCGATTTTTCCCGCATGGAGGAAAGCAACGGGCTCTCCGGAGTCTACAAGATGGCTTTGCAAAGCCGTGATGGCAGGCAGAGGCAAGCCAGACCAGACCCATCTTTGAAGGGTGTACGGGGAGCCGTACCCGGGTCCACAACCAGGGTTTATGGAGGGGGGTACCGCCGTCAGTCAAGTTTTCGTCTACACGGATGGGCAAGGTCACCCTCTTTGCACTGCCGCCGAGTTCTCGTTCTTCCCTTCCGCTGTTGGGGAGTAGACAAGTGGCGTCCAGGGAGTTACAAAGGGCGCGGGGGTAAAATAAGGAGGTGGGCACGGCTTGCGTCCTCCGGCCATGTGCCACTTTGGGGGGGGGGGGAGAGTGCCCTTGCCGGAAGGATGGGTTGCCTCTTGAGACGGAAAGAGTCTTGGCCGGGTCCAAAGAGGCTCAGTTTGTGTCCCTAGAACAGGAGGGGGCAGACAGGGGCGTCACGGTCCAGGATACATGCATAAACCCCGTGGTCTGCCCCACGGGGGGTTGGGGATCCGAGGGGAGTCCAGCCCCAGCCAATCTGTGCTCGCACAACGCAGGGAAGTTACCGCAAAGAATCGGGAATCGAACATAGTCTGGGGTTAGGGGCGGCTGGATGCGGCTGCCCGCTCTGCTGAAGCTGAAGGGTGCGAGTCGGGCAGGGGAGGCCCAGCCAGGCGCGGCCGGGGGCGTCTCTGTTGCTGGGCTGCAGCTGCCCCAGATGTGGTGGGTGCGGAATGACCAACGAGGCTCTGCCGGCGTGGCAGAGGCAGTGGAGCATCTCGCTCGGGGCTTCCACGGTGGCGGTGGGCCGCGGGGTGGCAGACAACCCCTTGGGCTTGGAGGTGACGGGAGGGGACTGCCCCATGGGCATTCCCGAGTGGGCGCTGGAGGTGGGGAGCATCGGTAGGCCCAGCCGGCGTTGGCAATGCAGCATCTCTAAGTGGGGATCCAGAACGGCCGGCGGGGCGCTCAGCTTCGGGCCCTGCTCCGAGTTGGGGGACACCCCTTGGAGGTGCCCCGAGGGGCCGGCCGTGTGCGGGCCAGGGGCCGGGTCCGCGGGAAGACTCTGCCCATGAGGGGCCCCATGTTGCCCGGAGGGGGCCGGTCGGTGGACACTGGGAGAGGGGTCTCCAGGCAGATCCGGGCGGGGGACCGGCGTGGCCCGCTGGGCGGCCGACGCAGGGTCCCCCGGGAGGGCTTGTTGGAGGGCAGGGGCAGCCAGGAGAGTGCTAGTCAGTGGATCGGGGCCCAGCACCTGCCGATGGGTACGCTGGTGCGCACGCAGCGCCGACTCGCCCTTGAAGCGTTTGGGGCAGCAGGAGCAGGCGTGGGGCCGCTGCTGGGAGTGGGTGCGCTGGTGGGCCGCGAGGTTGCCCTTCTGGCTAAAGCGACGCCCGCAGGTGGCGCAGGGGAAGGGGCGCTCCCCCGAGTGGATGCGCCGGTGGGTGATGAGGTTGGCCCGCTGGTTGAACCGCTTGCCGCACTCGGTGCAGGGGAAGGGCTTCTCGCCGGTGTGGATGCGCTGGTGGGTGATGAGGTTTGGCCGCTGGCTGAAGCTCTTGCCGCAGACGCTGCAGGGGAAGGGCTTCTCGGTGGAGCGGCTGCCCCGCGGCGCCGGCACCTTGGGCTCGGGAGCGATCAGCCCCTCCTGCACCGCGTGGGTGCGCTGGTGGGCCGCCAGGTTGGCCTTCTGGCTGAAGCGCTTGCCGCAGCGCAGGCAGGGGAAGGGGCGCTCGCCGGTGTGGACCCGCTGGTGGGTCAGCAGGTTGGGGCGCTGGCGGAATCGCTTGCCGCACTCCAGGCAGGGGTAGGGCTTCTCGCCGGTGTGGATGCGCCCGTGGGTGATCAGCCCCTGCTTCTGTCGGAAGCACTTGCCGCACACCACGCAGGTGAAGGGGCCGGAGCCCAGGCCCTGGGAGGGGCGCCCGGGGCCGCCGAGACTGGGCTCGCAGGAGGCCGTTTCCTCTTTCTTGACCCGGGTCTGGGTTCTCAGTTGACCGGCATTGGGGGCTAGGAAGAGCCCCGCCCGGGAACTCTCGGGGAAAAGCTGGTAACGTTCCAAGCTGGCCACAAAGCCCTTCTGGCCGCCCTCTTCTTCCTTGATGGCTTTGCTGCGTCCAGCGGCTGTTCCAGAGTGGACAAAAAGGAGGGAGGGGGAGACACACACAAAAAAAGAAATGAAATAGTGCAGGGGGTCCCCAACCCTCGGGCTGCGGCGCACTACCATTTGGAAGTGGGCCACCCACCAGCGAGCAATGGCATATGCGAGCGCACCAATTCTCATGCTTGCGCGTGAAGTTCCCCTCGTTTTGAGCGACAGGCTCTCCCGCCCGCGTGCCTGCCACAGACACGAAACCATCCCCCCCCCCCGGGCGCCCTGCCGTCAAGCCAGAAAGGACGGGGAACGCCGGTCTAGTGTAGTTGATGTCGTTTTATTTTCCACACCTTTCCGACTAAGGTCTACGTAAAAGGTAATGGTTTCCCCCCACGCGCGTGGCTGACTCTAGGGCGTGGCGCTCATTTCCCTTTCCTGCCCAAGGAAGCTGGCGTTGTCCGAAGACTCGCCGATATTACGTGGCCGGCATGGCTCTATGACAAAAGTGCGCCGAAGGATGATACCTTCCCAGCGAAGTGGTACCTATTCGTCTACTCGCATTTACATGCTTTTGAACTGCTAGGCGGGCAGGAGCGGAGGTGAGGACGAGAGCTCGCCCCATCCACGGGGCTGTCGGCTTTAGTTCGGCATCTTTAATCGCTCAGTCCTCACGCCCCAATCAACTGCAGTGATTCACTTAACGACCGTGGCCAGAAAGGTGGTAAAAACGGGGCAAAATTCATCTCGCAATTGTCTTGCTTCGCGAGGGAAATTTTGGGCTCAGTTGTGGTGGTAAGTCAAGGACGACCTTTATATTATTCCTCCTTTACATTATCTTCTATTCCCGCTTTTATTGATATTGCGATTATTCTCTCTATTGCTTTGCATGTACTGGAGGCAAATTTCTGGCGTGTCTAATCCACGCTTGGCCAAATCAAGAATTCAATACAATTCAATTCAGTTCAATGCAATTCAGTTCAATGATTTCAATTTCATTCAATTCAATGATTTCAATTTCATTCAATTCAATTTCAATTTCATTCAATTCAATGCATTTCAATTCAATGAAATTCATTTCAATTCAATGATTTCAATTCAATTCAATTCAATGCATTTCAATTTAATTTAATTCATTTCATTTCAATGCAATGCAATTCAATGCATTTCAGCTTAATTAAGTTCAATGATTTCAATTTAATTCAATTCAATGCATTTCAATTTAATTCAATTCAATGATTTCAATTTAATTCAATGATTTCATTTCAATGCAATGCATTTCAATTTAATTCAATTCAATGCATTTCAATTTAATTTAACTCAATTCAGTTCAATGCAATGAAATTCAATGGATTTCAATTTAATTCAATTCAGTTCAATGCATTTCAATTCAATCCATTTCAATTCAATTCAGTTCAATGCAATGCAATTCAATGCATTTCAACTTAATTTAACTCAATTCAGTTCAATGCAATGCAATTCAATGCATTTCAATTCAATTCAGTTCAATGCAATTCAATGCATTTCAACTTAATTTAACTCAATTCAATTCAATGCAATGCAATTCAATGCATTTCAATTCAATTCAGCAATGCAATGCAATTCAATCCATTTCAATTCAATTCAGTTAAATGAAATGCAATTCAATGCATTTCAACTCAATTCAGTTCAATGCAATGCAATTCAATGCATTTCAATTTAGTTCAATTCAATGCAATTCAATGCATTTCAATTTAATTTAACTCAATTCAGTTCAATGCAATGCAATTTCAATTTAATTTAACTCAACTCAGTTCAATTCAATGCATTCCAATTTAATTTAACTCAATTCAGTTCAATGCAATGCAATTCAATGCACTTCAATTCAGTTCAATGCAATGCAATTCAATGCATTTCACTTCAATTCAGTTCAATGCAATGCAATTCAATGCATTTCAATTCAATTCAGTTCAATGCTTTCCATTTAATGCGATTCAATGATTTCAATTCAATTCCATGCATTTCAACTCAATGCATTTCAACTTCATTCAATTCATTGCATTTCAACGTAATGCAATGCAATGCAATGCATTTCAATTCAATTCAATGCAATCAATGCCCTCATTGCTGGCTGAAGATGACTGCTGGCCCTTTTGGACAGAGCCCGGAATGGTTTCTGGCAACCAGTGTGTGTGTGTGTGTGTGTGTGTGTGTGTGTGTGTGTGTGTGTGTGTGTGTGTGTAATCAATCTCCCTTCACTTTGTTCTCTCTGAAACCAGCTCAAAATCACTAAATGTCTCCTCAACTGTGTAGTCCTCGGGGGAGCTCCGAGCCGGGCGGTTTTCCTTGCGGACGTCTCATGACCCAACTAGGGAACGTCATCAGTGCTAGAAGGGAGGGGGGATTTTAGAGAAGAGGAGGGGGGGAGAACTGTGGGCTCCTTGGTGCTCTCTGAGCTTGGGGGGGGGGGCGGAGACGGGTGTTTAGCAGACGTTTCATGACCCAGCTAAGTAACATCATCAGTGCTAGAAGGAAAGGTTTGTGGAGAGGAGGACTGCGGGGTCCACCAGGAAACCAGGCGCCGCCTGCTCTTGCCTACCTTGGCAGGCGCCTGCGCACAACTTGCCTTCCTCCAGCTTCTGACGGTCGGTCACCCCGAGTTCCTCCCAGCGTTCGATCCACGAAAGGCTCTCGGGTTTGAAGAAACGGTAGCCTGGGGGGGGGAGGAGGGAGAGAGAAAGAGATCCCCAAAAGGACCGGGTGAGCCCGTCGATCTTCTCCACGGAATGTTCTGGAAGGACGGGGGAAGAGAGGCTCGTCCCACCCCCACCCCCACCCCTCCCCGGGTGCCGCCAAGCCCACGAGGCAGCCTGGATTTGCGAACGCCCCGTTTTAGCTGGGCTGGGCTGAGAGAGAGAGAGAGGCGGGACTAGAACTGGCAATTGGCCCAAAGTCACCTGCCGTCGCCTGGCAATTGCCCCAAAGTCACCCAGCTGGCTTTCCTGCCTGAGGCGGGACTAGAACTCCCCGTCGCCTGGCGATTAGCCCAAAGTCACCCAGCCGGCTTTCACGTCTGAGGCGGGACTATAATTCCAAGTCTCCTGGCGATTGGCCCAAAGTCACCCAGCTGGCTTTCCTGCCTGAGGCGGGACTAGAACTCCCCGTCGCCTGGCGATTGGCCCAAAGTCACCCAGCCGGCTTTCACGTCTGAGGCGGGACTATAATTCCCAGTCTCCTGGCGATTGGCCCAAAGTCACCCAGCTGGCTTTCCTGCCTGGGCGGGACTAGAACTCCCCGTCGCCTGGCGATTGGCCCAAAGTCACCCAGCTGGCTTTCCTGCCTGAGGCGGGACTAGAACTCCCAGTTTCCTGGTGATTGGCCCAAAGTCACCCAGCCAGCTTTCCTGCCTGAGGCGGGACTAGAACTCCCTGTCGCCTGGTGATTGGCCCAAAGTCACCCAGCCGGCTTTCCTGCCTGAGGCGGGACTAGAACTCCCCGTCGCCTGGTGATTGGCCCAAAGTCACCCAGCCGGCTTTCCTGCCTGAGGCGGGACTAGAACTCCCCGTCGCCTGGTGATTGGCCCAAAGTCACCCAGCTGGCTTTCCTGCCTGAGGCGGGACTAGAATTCCCAGTCTCCTGGTGATTGGCCCAAAGTCACCCAGCCGGCTTTCCTGCCTGAGGCGGGACTAGAATTCCCAGTCTCCTGGTGATTGGCCCAAAGTCACCCAGCCGGCTTTCCTGCCTGAGGCGGGACTAGAATTCCCAGTCTCCTGGTGATTGGCCCAAAGTCACCCAGTCGGCTTTCACGCCTGAGGCGGGACTATAATTCCCCGTCGCCTGGCGACTGGCCCAAAGTCTGCGATTCTGTAAGGGTCTCAGGCTGGAGCAGGGGGGGCTGGACTAGAAGATCTCCAGGGGTCCCTTCTATTCTTCTGCCCTTCGGGTTAAATTGGGCCCGACAAATCGCAGGGTCTGCACTCGCCCAATTAAAAAAAAGAAATAAGGGCGTTATCCCGCACGGACGGGGGGGTTTGGTCGGCGTGGGACTCGGCCCGCCGAACGTACCTGCACACGGATCGGTCGGGATCCCTCGGCTCGACTCCAGCTGGTCCCCGAGGCACTGCTCTCCGACCCGCTCGATCCGAGACAGGAGATCGGGTTTGAGAACCGGATAGCCTGGGGAAAGGTCAGAACCGGGCGGGTCACCACCTCGCAAAGGCGGGGGGGGGGAGAAAATAGCCAGCTGTCCCACCTATGGGGGGGGAGGGGGAGGAGGAGGAGGAGGAGGAGGAGGAGGAGGAGAAAAGACCGTGGGGTCCTCGGTGCTCTCTGAGCTGGGTGGTTTTCTTGCAGACATTTCATGACCCAGCTAGGGAACATCATCAGTGTTAGAAGGGAGGGATGTGTGGAGAAGAGGAGGAGGAGGAAGACTGTCGGTGCTCGGTGCTTTCTGAGCTGGGTGATTTTCTTGCAGACGTCTCGCAACCCAACTAGGCAACACCATCAGTGCTGGAAGGGTTGGAGGAGGAGGAGGAGGAGAAGGAAGAAGAAGAAGAAGAAGGAGAAGGAGGAGGAGGAGGAGGAGGAGGAGGGGAGGAGGAAGAGGAGAAAGGAAGAGGAAGAAGATGAAGAAGAAGAAGACGAGACAGTGACTGTGGGATCCTCGGAGCTCTCTGAGCTGGGTGGTTTTCTTGCAGACGTCTTGTGACCCAACTAGGCAACACTATCAGTGCTGGATGGGAGAGAGGGAGGAGGAGGAGGAGGAGGAGGAGGAGGAGGGGAGGAGAAGGAGGAGGAGGAAGAAGAAGAAGAAGAAGAGGAAGAGGAAGAAAGAAGAAGAAGAGGAGGAAGAGGAAGAAAGAAGAAGAAGAGGAAGAGGAAGAAAGAAGAAGAAGAAGAAGAAGAAGAAGAAGAAGAAGAAGAAGAAGAAGAAGAAGAAGAAGAAGAAGAAGAAGAAGAAGAAGAAGAAGAAGAAGGGGAAGGAGGAAAAAAAAGAGGAAGAGGAAGAAGAAGAAGATGATGAAGAAGAAGAAGACGAGACAGTGACTGTGGGATCCTCGGTGCTCTCTGAGCTGGGTGGTTTTCTTGCAGACGTCTCGTGACCCAACTAGGCAACACCATCAGTGCTGGAAAGGTTGGAGGAGGAGGAGGAGGAAGAAGAAGGAGAAGAAGGAGAAGAAGAAGAAGAAAAGGAGGAGGAGGAGGAGGAGACAGAGACTGCGGGATCCTCGGTGCTCTCTGAGCTGGGTGGTTTTCTTGCAGACGTCTCGTGACCCAACTAGGCAACACCATCAGTGCTGGAAGGGAGTGAGGTTGGAGGAGGAGGAGGAGGAGGAACAGGAACTGTAAGGGTCCTGAGCTTGGTTGTTTTCTTGAGGACCTTTCATTATCAAACTAGGTAATACCATCCGTGCAAGAAAGGAGAGGGTGAGGAGGAGGAGGAAGAGGAGGGAGAGGGAGGGGAGCGGGAGG